TTATAATGATGCTGCAGCCAGTCTAATGGGTGTAAACACTTCTTGTAGCCTTCATCCACAATAACGAACACACTTCCGGGTGCCTGATTGCAGCAAGCTCAGTTCAGCGCGACACTTCCGGTCCTCAGAGCAGCACGCTTTCCGACCTCATATCTCAGTGTGCTGATTAGGGCAGTCCGACACTCAAGCAGAGATCTTATCTGTTTCATATTTGGAACCAAATCCTTCGGTTTCTCTTTGTACTCTGATTTTTAGACCTCTCTAGTAAGCACTATTACATATAAAGTGCAAGTGAAGCTAAAACTTATCTGAATGGCAAACAAATCCCACATTTTGGATAGGGATAGATGAGAAATCTTCAATGGGGACGCAAATTCTGGGGACCCTGCGTACCAGCAAGTATTTCTCTCCCTATGGAAGGATTTCAATTCACTTCCTGTTTTCACTATTGGACAGGAAGTAAAGGGAAATCTCCCCAATGAGACACAGATGATGAAAAGAAAAGAAAAAAAAAGCTGACAAAGGTTATAAGCTTTCATTTTTCTTCTGGCTTCAGTTCTACTTTAAAGTCAAAACTTCTTGTTATAGCTCTGGGTAGAGTACGAAATAGTTAAATCATTTTTTATTAACCCTTGCAGTGTGGCTTCCCACCACACTGCTAGGGTTAAGTGCTCGTTTGTGTCTAGGGTTTAAAAAAAAAGTTATACTAACCCAAAGCTCAGAGCTGCCTTCTTCCTAGACAGTCCTTCCAGTGTCTCTCCCTCCTCTGCAGCAGTCTAAGGTCCAGTAAATCATCACATTCTACACACTGGGTGAAATTGATCAAAACTGGAGCAAATAGAACCTGGAACAGTTGCCCTTGGCAACCAATGATTTGAAAATTAAAGGCTGCAGTGCAAATCTGCTCCAGATTTTGTGTGCTCCAGTTTTGGTAAATTCCCACCACTGTATATAGATGTGAGGATGCTGAGGAAGAGTCCAATGTTGCAGTGTAGGAGGAGACAGGCTGGAGGGAGGGCTGTGACAGCTGATCGGCTCGGAGCTTCGGGTGTGTATATAATTGTTATTTTTGTCCCTAGACAAAATGAGCACTTAACGCTTGCAGTGCAGGGGTAGCCCCTCCTTGGTCGTTTCTATGCATGGTTTTTCTGTGTGTTTTATGCGCATAAAAGTTGCCCGTTTTTGTGAGCGGATTGTGGCCCATTGATGTTAATGAGAAGGGCTTAAAGGAGAACTATGGGGTTAGGGCTTTTCCCCATAGTTCTCCTAAGGGTCAAGGGAGAACACAAACTAGTGTTCTCCCGTGACCCAAAGCTACAGCTCTCGGTATACTGAGAGGCCACAGCCGGAACGGATCCTGACATCGCTGTCGGGATCCACCCAGCTGCGGGATTGACAGCTGGCTCTGCCTATCCAGGCCCCCTCCCCCGTCCGTTCCGCCAGTCTGCGCTGGAGAATCGGAGCGGGGAGGAATACCTGCAGGGAGCCGTGAGTGACAGTTACGGCTCTCTGCAGGGATAGATCGAGAAGTGAGCGAGCGACGGTATGTGTTTGCTCACTTCCCGATCTACAGTGCCGACCTGTGACAGTTTCATTGTCACAGGTCGGCTCAGATTATGAGGCTAAGTGAAAGTCACTCGCCTCATAATTCTCCTTTTTTCTGACAAAAAGAAGCTCATGTACTTTTTCCAGCGATGGTTTTTTTGCTACACGACAACAAACACTCAGATGAAAACATGGCCATAGCAATGAATGGGATTTTGTTTTGGGTGTTTTTTTTTCTTTTCTTAGGGCAGAAGAAAAAGCGCTACAAAACACTAGCAGGGTTATTCACAAAAGGGTGAAGAGTTTGGAGAAGGCTGAAGTGAACAATCTAGGCCAAAATAGCCGATTTGGAAAATCTCTCCTTTAATCCAGTAAATTTAAAAACAGGCAGTGATGCCTGTTAACATACAAGCGTTCTGCCAGCTATAGAGCCGGCGTATCGCTTGTATGGGCGGTTGGCCCGTGTCCCCCCCTCCCGTTGTCACACTGATCCCGGGCTCTGCTGAGCCCGGGACCAGCATAGTGCCTCTGTCACAGGGAATCAGAGGGAGGTCGGTACAAGACCTCCCTCCGCTCCCCTCTCCGCTGTAAGAATGCGGAAGTGTTGTATATTACATCACTTCCGCATTCTTGTGTCACTCTCCAACTTCAGACGCTGGAGAGAAGCTGATGGAGCAGATCTCTGCTTCATCAGCTTCTTCAGGGGGGTCCTAGGTGACATTAGGGGTCTTGGAGACCCCTGATGTCTCCATGAAGAGGACCTGTCACATCTTTTGCTATCACATAGGGGGTTTCTTAGCCCCCTATGTAATAGCAATAAAGTTAAGTGGAAAAAAAATAGGAAACAAAAGTAAAGATTACATTTTGTTTTAAAGTAACACATCAAAAAGAATGTAAAATTTTTTTTTTTTAAAAGTCCCCACCCATACATACACGCATGCAAACATGCATCGGGTGAGCTGCGAAAACGACGATTGCACCCATTACGCTGCACATGTTACATATCGCCGCACATGTTACATATCGCCGCGAACGTCGCAGTGAGAGCAATCATTTTAGGGCCATCAATCACTGATAACACTAAACTGATGAGCTGTAAAAGTTTTTAAAGCGCCGCCTATGGTCAATTTTGGGTATGGTGTTTTTTTGTGAGTGCGCCCAATTTTTAAGCTTGACATGTTTGGTGTCTATTTACCCGACGTGACCCCGACTTTTATATTTTACCAAAAAAGTGGGTGATAATAAATGTTTCCTAACATAATGTAAAAAAAAACTTTTTGTTTTGACATTTTTTTCTGTAATTTTCCTGAAATATAGTAAAAAAATAAAAACCCCAGTGGTGATTGAATACCACCAAAAGAAAGCTCTATCTGTCCCCAAGAATGGTATAAAATTCATTTCAGTACAGCGCTGCAGGACAGAATAAATATCAATCAAAGTACCGCAGCGCTGAATACTGAAAAATGGCCTGGCCAGGAAGGGGGTATAAACACTGCGGTCTTCAAGCAGTTAAAATAGGCCCAGCCGCCCTAAACAACATATAGCAATCAATCAGCCGCCCGACCTCCGGCGGGGTCCAGGGAGAGATCGCCATGCCGCCGGCCCCGCCTAGGTGTCAGGGAAGACACACAGGCTGCGCCCCTCCAACTTTGGGTGCACGCCAGCACAGGCCCTTGTAGAACGGCCAATAAGAAGAGAACTGGGATATGAAGTGATATCATCTCTCTGCCTCTCCCAAAGCTGCACGCTGCTGTAGAGAGGTAAGACAGGGCAGTCTACATGCCCATTCATTGTAATAAATAACAAATACTTGAGCTGTAGAAAATAATAAGAAATCATGCTAGTACATGTCCCAGGCTAAGAGAAATGAATTGTATTAAAAATGTTTTTGTTTATTAAAGAAGATGTTAAAAATATTTATATATACCCTCTAAATAAGGGCTTATTCACACCAGAGCAGCAGCTGCTGGAACGCACAGCAATTGCTCACTAACTTTCCCCCTTTGTTCTGGGACGGGAGGGGGCGTGGCGTTGTGGCACCCCCCTGTTTTTAAACTATGATCCGGCCCCCAGCAATGTCTGAGGGACAGTGAGCTGGCCCCATGTTTAAAAAGTTTGAGGACCCCTGTCCTAGATTGTTCACGTCTCCTGTCTTCTCCAAACTTTACCCTTTTGTAAATAACCCTGTAGGTGTGAACCAGGACTAAGACTCAAGAGTTTATGCACTGCCCTGAACGCATAGGGCCTGCCAGCCGTGTGCACAAGGCCTAAAGGCTGTGACAAACTACACGCGAAGCAGCGCAGAGCGGTGGTGTGCTGCCTTCGCATGCAGTGTGTCATGTAATTTTCTCCCCGACACGTCAGCTTGTGAGAGCTCGCATAGCTGAGCGTGCCGAGATTAATATTTTCATATTCAGCTACTCAGCTCGCGCGTATAAACCCGCGTGTCACGATGCAAACTCCATCCGGTTGCTACACGTGAGCCAATTGGCTGAAGATGCAGTCAATCATCTGGCTGCACTCCGCTCACACACTGCATGCGAAGCTCTGTGCCTGACAGCTTTGCATGCAGTGTGTCACAGGCTTAAAGGAGAACTATGAGATGAGTGATTTCCACTCACCTCATAGTTCTAAGCCGACCTGTGACAATGAGACTGTCACAGGTCGGCTCAGTAGATCAGGAGGTGAGCAAACACATACCGGGTTCGCTCACCTCTCGATCCTGTCACGACTCTCTGCCGTGACAGGGGGAGGGGCTGGACTCCCCTCTCCGATCTGCCAGCGCTGACTGGTGGAACGAATGGGGGAGGGGGCGGGTACAGCTGGCTCTGCCTCTAGATAGGCAGAGCCAGCTGTCACTCACGCAGCTGGGTGGATCTCAACGTCGAGGTCGGGATCCGCTGAGCTTAGGGTAACGGGAGGACGCTAGTTTGTGTCCTCCCGTTACCCTAAGGAGAACTATGGGGAAAAACACTGACCCCATAGTTCTCCTTTAATGCTGCAGAGAATGGAGCTGATGTAATCACATCAGTACCTCTCTTTGCATTATTCAGGACCACCCACCGCCTGGAGATCAGAAGAAAAAAGGGACCCTCCATGTCATATGACAAGCCTGAAGACTAAAGACAGAGAAAGTGAGAAGAGAGGTTGAGTGGGTGCGCTAGAGAGCCGAGTCTGGGGTTGCCCTTTAATTATGAGACATTTCTGTATGACAGCTGAACACAATAATATAAGCCTAATACTGCGGATTATTGTTTATTATTTTGCCCTGTATATGAAGAACGTTGACCACCTCTGCTTCAAACTGTTCTCTACATAGGCTGACATCAATCCTGAATCCTCTCTCATCAGCTATATGCGTGTTACGTCTCCGCTCTATCGCGTGACTTGAAAGAAATGTAGTGTTCCTCCTGTTTCCCTGCACGCAGTGACGTAACTCGTATGCTGGAGTTCTCGCGAGATTTCTCTTCTGGTGGGGCCTGGGTTTTTCCAGACTTCCGCTCCGCAGTGGAAAGAGACGCTGAGTATTCCTGGTCGCCTTGTCACTCTGGAAGATTCCTGTGGGTGTACACCGTGGCCCTGACCGCCATGTCCGTGATGGCCGCTCGCCCGGCTTCTCCGCGGGAGGAAGGCGAGCTGGAGGACGGCGAGATCAGCGATGACAGCGTCCGACCCGATAGCCCCAAGCATGTCCGCCACCGGCCCAGCAGCCGAGGGCCCCCACGCCCCCCCTACCGGGCTCGCCCGCAGAGGCCGCCTCATGGCTACCGGCCGTCCCCCCGAATTCCACAGCAGCCCCCACCGCCCTCCAGACCCTCGTTCTGGGAGCGCAGTTATGACACGCTGGGACGGTTTCGCTCACGGGGAAGAGGCGGCAGGTTCTGGGACAGAGAGTGGGGAGAGCGGAGCATAAAGCCGGGCGGACCGAGGCTGGTCAGCTGGAGAGCCCCGTCCCCTCGAAGACGTATCCTTCCTTGTAGCTGGAGTCTACCATACAGCGCTCCAGCCAGGGTAACCATCCCCCATGATATGGCTGAGAGATATAAGGTTTCTGCTGACAGCCTAGACATAACCTTACCAAGTAGAAGGATCACTGCTCAAAAGCCTAGTTCTGGCTGGAGGGTCATGGGAGAGACCTGTGTGTGTTAAATATATAGGAGTTGTGCAGTGCTCCACAATATAAGGTAGACAATACAGTTACAGACAAGAGAGAGTGCCCATGAGAGCTTACCATCTAAAAGGGAGGGGCAAATGATACATGAGGATGTAGCTGTGTAGGAATTAATTGTTTGAGAATGTGATGGCTCATTGGTTAATTTAAGGCAGGATATGCTTCCATGAAGAGATGAGTCATTAGGGATCACCTAAAGGCAGACAGAATAGGAGACAGGTTGGGGTAAGGAGTTCCAAAGGATGGCAGAGACTCTAGAGAAGTCCTGGAGGCAAGCATGGCAGGAGTTAACTAGGAAGCTAGAGAGCAGGAGGTCTTTGGAAAAGCGGAGGGGGCGGTTAGGGTGATACTTTGAGACAAGGTTGGAGATAGCCGGGGGCAGAGTTGTGGATTACTTTGTAAGTGGTTAATGTTTTGAGTTTTCTCCTTTGGGTGATTGGGAGCCAGTGGGCAAAGTCACAGGTTCTCTATGCCATTAGTACTTTAAAGAGACCACCATACTTTACAATTGTCTGTGTACACTTAATGAGAAGCCACACTGCCTAGCAACAAGTGAATATGAACGACAAAATCAAGCGCACTGCCAAGAAGTACAAACTGGTGTTTGTTGTAATCTAAGGGTGGAGGGTACAGTGTGCAAGCTCTATTAAAACAGAGAGGAGCCCTGTGGTACAACAGAATAAAGAATGTATTAAGAGCGCTACAACTGTGTTGAAATATACCGGAGGACTCACATTTAAGAAGTCATCTGCGAGAAGACGTCCGGTTGGGTGTCTAGGTGAATACAGACCTGGAGGGTCCAGTAATCTGGTGAGTGATCTGCCTCTGTCGCCGAGCGCTGCGAACGGAGGGACAACAGACTCTTGCAGTGATAGACCTATTTTGGCCGATCACTGCTTGACAAAGAGGCTCTGCCTCGAAACGCGTAGCTACCGACCTAATTTGCATCAGTCCCCAATACTCCTTTAACCTCTTTACAACTTCCGCCGGCACCTGCCACCACACGAACCACCGCTCTGCCTCCCGAGCCTACTGACAGGAAGCCGACATCACACAGCGCTTCAGACATACAGTGCCCCTGACTACAGCGGCTCAGCCTGGCCAGCTGAGTCCGTGCAAGAGTCTGTTGTCCCTCCGTTCGCAGCGCTCGGCGACAGAGGCAGATCACTCACCAGATTACTGGACCCTCCAGGTCTGTATTCACCTAGACACCCAACCGGACGTCTTCTCGCAGATGACTTCTTAAATGTGAGTCCTCCGGTATATTTCAACACAGTTGTAGCGCTCTTAATACATTCTTTATTCTAGCAACAAGTGAAGCCGCCTTCCTAGCCAATCAGGATGGCGGGAGACGGGTCATGACGTGCCGCCTGGCTTCCTGATTGGCTAGGAAGCCGGCTTCATTTGTTCCTAGGCAGCTTGGCTTCCTGACCAATCGGGATGCAGGACGGCACCTCATGACTCGTAAGGAAGCCAGGCAGCCCTGGCATGTGAAGGCTTTGTGCTTTCGAAAGAACACCGGCTTACCAGGCAATCAGAAAGCTGGTTGACGGGTCATGATCTGTCGCCCAACTTTCTGATAATGGGGGCAGATGGCACCAGTATTTGTACTCGGTATTGGTGAAGACCGGAAAAAAAATAAGGGTTCTCGATATTGAAAAACCGGTATCGGTGCATCCCTACTGTCTACCATTGGTTGAACAGCACATGGATTCAGTCAGATGCAGGCACTGTTCAGGTATTTTGACAGCCAATGGGGCCGACTGCCAAAATAAGCCTGGATGGAGGAATATGTTAGATTTTCTTCCTTCAGCCTGAAAGCTGAAAGCACAAAATCTATTAATGTGTATGGAGCATCATCAGGCATATTGGGTTAGGTAGTGTTACAGATGATTAAACAAAGCAATTTATTATACGGGGTTGTATATGGGATGTGGGTTTGTCATTTTCTTTTCTTTCAGTGCTCGTTCACAGCAGCCTTCACACCAAAATGGATGTGCACATACAAGGCACTGTAAATGTTTTACATGATGACATTTCATTTGCTTCTATGCAAGGTGCGGTGACATGAGGTGCATTGTGAAAAAATGCAGCATGTCTGCAGTCTTTTAACGCAACGCATTGCAACCCACCTCAAAGCAGGATTGTGGTGTGAACAGGGAACATAGAAGCAATTGTTAAGCTTGCGTTGATTTATGTAGGTTAGCGCAGCTCCACTGAAGTAATTTGTTAACAAAGCCATCACTGGCAGCTGCACCTCTTCCTGGATATTGTGTCATCAGGCTTTGTCTGCAGATGACATGGCAGAGGCTGAGTGCAAGAATGTCTCCTGATGGCATCAGCTACACTGAGTACAGCCCTCAGCCTGCTTGGATGGGAGAGAAAAAACCCCACCTCTGTGCCACTACCATTTCCACCATGAGACTGCCAGGCTGCAGTTTACAAGTGCTCAGTCATGTGACTGTCATAGGTCACACACTCCTTTGCAGCTGTCAGCTCCATAATGCTCACTCAGCTGTGGAACACTGCACATGTACAGGGTTGTGTTAGTTCATAGCCGGGAAAGAGATGATTTAGGTAGAGAAGCAGGCTGCTAAGCTAATAGTACAACAGTAGTAACAAGTGTGGATCCTAAATTGGAAATAACGTTAATATTCATGTGGAGATTGGGTCTTTTTAACCCCTTCATGACTTTGCTTTTTTTCCCGTTTGTTAATGACTGACACACTTTTGACATTTCTGCTGTGTGATATTTTCACAGCAATAATATTATTAATATACATTCTTACTAAGTGCACCCACACGGATTATATATTGTTTTTTAGAGGAGACTAAAAAACAAAACATTTATTTTTCTTTAAAAGCTAATAGTGGTCACCAGGTTAAACAGTTGGAGTACATGGTCACTGTCACTATGTGCCACTAACTGTCACACTTTGTGACAGCGACACACTTTGAACATTGCTGTCATGGAGGGGGTTCAATTAAAAAAATTAACCCGTTAGGGTAAAAAACAAACCTGCAGCTCAGCTGTAGATTTTCATTATAGGGGGTTAATGTTTCTAATTATAGTAAAAATTATAAATATAAATATATTTTTTATATTTTAATTTTTTTTTTATTTAAATTTTTTTGTGAATTATATCAAGCAGTCACTATTACTGCTTGATAATTTTTTTAAATGTTTGATTATTATTAGGCTGCTCCAAACCTAGGAACAACCAATAGCATTTCAGGAGTAGATGTGACTAAATACTTCTGAACGTTCCTAGAATGATCAGAAGTCTGATACAATGTCTCAAGATTTTGCTACAAGTTTCTATGCTTTATAGAAACTTGTAGCAAAAAAAGCCCGAACACAGGCTCTATACATAGCTGTCAAAACTGTGATAGCAGAGCCGTGTTATCATTGTCAGATACTCGATCGCTAACAGCGATCAGGTGTCTGTAAAATCTTAATTCTTTCGTTAATGGATGCTGCAATACTGAGGCATGCATTAATGAACGGTGACAGCTCCAAATATCTGATCATGTACCGTTTACGTGATGAGTCATTTGGGCACTTCATAATGGGGATGTACAGTGTAAGTCTCCAGTCATGAAGGGGTTAAAGCAGACAACAGTTCACTCTTTAGACACTAAAGTATTTATAAGCAGAAAACCTACCTCCTGAGTATAACAAAAAAACCTTCCCTTGCAGTGAGGCACATTGCAGGTATTAACTGCTCCTTTATGTCTAGTAGTATGGTAAACTGCACTATTACTTACCTGAGTCCCACTCCCCTCTGGTCCAGCTCGAGGACTGTCCCTCAGCATCCTTAAGTATAATGCAAGATTATTGGCCCTGCATTGCATCTGATAGGGATGCATCGATATCGGTTTTTCAGTATCAATTGTGTCCCATTAAGGATTAGCCGGGAAGCTGGCTCCATGCTCCCTCGTCACCAGGGGACAAGGAAGCATGCAGCCGGCTTTCTGGCCAATCAGGAAGGCGTTACCCGCCCCTCTGGCTTCTTGATACCGGATGTTCCGGTATTTAGTACATTTCTGCAACACTTGCACATTTCCCCAGCTTTTTTTCTTTCTTTAAAATGCTGCAAGTACAGAAAAATGCTGGTTGATGTTCTTGAAATGCAAGCTGTAGTTGCAGCATTTTTAAGGTATAAAACTTTACATGTATGTTTTGGAGAGATGTACTTTTTTTTGTCTAGATGTACACTTTAAGGACAAGGACAGCAGTTGCTCCTGTACTGCTAAGGGTTGATTGTCCTACAGCTGACTTGTCCTAGAAACTTCACAGGATGGAGCTGAGCAGGCTTCACTGGGGGTGCAAATTGCCTGCAGGTATGGAACACACTTAAAGGAGAACTACGAGGTGAGTGATTTCCACTCATCAACATAGAGTAGATCCGACCTGTGACAAGCTGTCACACGTCGACTCTACTGATCGTGTAATGAGCAGAAACATGTAGCTGATCCGCTCACTTCCCGATCATCTCCCTGTCAGAGAGCGCTCCCCTTCCCCTCTCCAATCCTCCAGTGCCGAGTGGAGGAATGAATGAGTAGGGGCGGGCACAGCTGGCTCTACCTCTAGATGGGCATAGCCAGCTGTCACTCACGCAGCTGGGTGGATCACAACAGTTTTGTCGTGATCTGTCCCGTCTGTGGCGCTCTTAGTTTATTGCAGGTAATAGCCCGCGATATACTGAGCTTTGGGTCACAGGAGGAGGTTAGTATAGGTCATCCTATGACTCTGAAGAGAACTATGGGGAAAAACACTTAACCCATAGTTCTCTTTTAAATGAATATTTTTTTTTTTAAAGTGGTTTAGTTAATGGTTATGAAACAGACCTTATGGACTGCATAGGTTATTGTTAATTTTCTTTTTAATAACTGTGAAGTAAGCACCTCTGTACCAGTATTTTATACCCCCTTCCTTTCCTATGCCATTTTCAGTGTTGTGAAAGTTTGACTGATAGAGTACGCAAGGGAATTATTATTTATAAAAAAAATTTCCAGACACCTGTGGCATTTAATAATCACGTTTTTATTTTGTTACTATATGAAAAGACCAAACATTTGTGATTGCTTATATTTCTCACTCATTTCTAATGTATTTTCATCTGTTATATATTTTCTTTAAGGCTAGGTGCACACCTAGGCGATTGAGCTGGTGAGCTGTTTTTGAATGGTTGTCGTGTTTTTGTTCATGCGATTTTGCTTTGAAAACCGAACGGTTTTCAATGCATAGAGGTGTCTGAGACCCAAACCGCCCGAAAATAGCTCCTGCACGACAGGCGATTTCTACCGCGCGACAGATCGCAAAGGTGTGAACAGCTTCCATAGACTTGGATGCAAATCTGTATTGTGCGATATCCTGCGGGTAAATCGCCCAAGTGTGAACCTAGCCTCAATGTTGGTATATACTGTCAAAAAGAAAAGTCACTATACCAAGGAACATTTCAAGCAGCAGTTCTCATTCCTCTCCTTCCTCACCTATTGTGAGAGTGGAGGGCTTTCTGTGTGTAAACACATCTGAATGCTGTGATTGACTGTGATCACAAGGCACAGTGCCACTCTGAATGACTCTCTTAATTTTGTCTATGATCTACTGTCTGGATGGCAGAAAATAATTGTCTGCCTCCATCTGCACAGAACGAATGTACATGCAGTTTTGCAGGCAACTGAGTCTGCAATTTTTTTTACAAATACACCTCTTAGTGATGAGATTATTTATATCAAGCTGTCCTTTCACATGTTCATAAAACAATTTAAAGACTGTGATTTATTTTTATTTATTTTCAGTTTTGTTTCCTTAACGCTCTTTTTAGTTAAAAGTGTTGTTAGGTCTCCACCTAGGAAATCTAGCCATTCATCCAAAAATGAGAATGAAGAAGAGAGCTTTGAAGACCTGCTTTTAAAATATAAGCAGATAAAGCTGGAACTTGAGTCCATTAATAAGGATGAGAAACTCGCTCTCAAAGAACAACATGGTAATGTACAGGAAAGTGTTGTGGAAAACACTGTACGGACCCCTGTTAAGGAAGAATGCATTTCTGGTGCTGCTGTGAATCTGGAGGCATCTGTGGAGGAGAAACTACCAGTAAAGACTTTCCAGGCCTTTGAGCTTAAACCTCTGAGACAAAAATTAAAACCCATTAATGAGAAGAAACAAAGTATTGTGGAAGAATCCAACCCCACTGTAATTACCAGTGACACTGAGACTCATGAGCTAGGTATACATTTTTTTTTGTTTGTTTTTGCATTCGGTATGATAGAGAACGGTGATGGTTTCCCATTCATAGTTCTTTTCGCTACATTTCCTATGCCTTGAGGTCTCATTCCTTCTGTTGAATCTTATACATTGTATTAGAAACTAAATACTCCTCCTGGGTGAGTAAAACAGTTTCTGTAATAGCCATTTCCTATCTTTTTGGATCGGAATTCCTGTAGTGTGACCAGGCACAGGCCCACCTACAGTGTCTTCTGTAAGCTGTGGGTAAAGAGTTAATTCTGTGTCATGTGAGGTTGGGCCAGTCATTGGCAACTTGGACAACTAACTATAATGTGCGGTAAAGTTGGGGTAAATCTCTCCAAGAGGGATGCAGACAACAATCGCTCTCTCCCACTCAATTCAAAACTAGAACATATTTTTGTCTACACTTCTGCCTTAATGTCTGCTTAAGAGTTGTGTTGCCCAATGTTAGCCATACATGCTAAAGCTGGGTACACAGATGAAATTTCTATCTGTGGGTGGCCCTATTTCCTCAGTAAAAGCCAATCAATAGAGAGCGGGAGATTTGTTTGACACTGTTAGCATGGATTGAGGGAACTCTCAGATTTTTTTTTTTCCCCCCTCAGCATCCCAGGCCAAACAAAAAAAAAAAATCTGTGTGTACCCAGCTTTAGATTCAGTCGATTTCCCCATTCACACTAAACAGTGTCGATGGAGGAATCTTCCCTGTCATCTATTGAGATAGCCGGCTTCTGTCTGAATAGCGGAACAGTGACTGCATGTGATTTAATGGTCTACAATTTTGCATCTTGCTGCTTTTAATTTTTCAGTCTAAATTTATCAAACAGTTTGATGCCGCTAGGGCCAAACACTACTTGAATTTTCGAAAAGGTGAAATTTATCTTTAAGAGTTCCACATTGTTTACCATTAACAAAAAACAGGTTCACTTTCCAGAATGTCTGAATTCAAAAGCAAAAATTTAGTATATTACAGCTTACCAGTTATTAGGGTTAGGTGGGTTATTTTTATTTTTTTAGGCTTTTTTCCCCCCCCCCATTTTTTTATTCTTTCACTTGGTAAAGCTAGAATAGCACGCTTTCTGTCCCTTCATGTCAGTGGTCTCTATGGAGGCTGCCATGGTTGTTACACAGACTGGACTTCAAAAATGTCTGCCTTTTGTTCATCTCCATTACATGGTGGATTTATGGGACTTGTAGCTTACAAAAGAGACATTGTGATGTCTTTTTAGCTCATAGGGAGTGGCTGCATTTCTGGTAAGATCAACAGGTATCATCTCTGCCTGCTAAAAATGTTCTTGGCCTGACAAAAGGGAACTAATGAAACCGCCACTTTTAAACAATAAGTTCACCTTTTGCAAAACTTGAATATATATACTGCTGGAGGGTGCACCCGTCTTGAAGGTCCAAATCGATAAGCTGTCCTTTCTAAACTCCTCTGTTCTCTAGTGGGTCCTGACCTTCACCCAAATCCACCTGGCTGTGATTTTACTTTTTCAAACAATGTCTGATGTCATCTGGTCAAAATCTCATTCCTGTGGTTGACCCTTTGCTTATTGAACGTATGGAGTAGATGGCTATAGTTGAACTTCAGTTTTGATGGCTTGCTACGAACTTCCCACATGTTTCATGTCAGTACATATGCATAGGACACTTTGGCAAAAGTGCTGGACTGTGGGATCTTTGCACAAGAAGTGCTTGGTCCACATGTCCTTTGAGACATGGCTCTTCATATTATCAAAGATGTTACTGGTGGCAAGAAAAGCCATCTTCCTCAGCAGAAGAAGCCTAAGGGAAGGGCCATTTCCATTTCATTGTTCACTCCCTTGACCTCCATTGAGATCCTCCAAGATTAACTGCCAATCCACCCGCAAGGTGTGGCACTCTGTCTGCCAAATCCTCACATAATGCTTTTTCAGCATAAAGGTGCTTCCTCACTCTCCACAGTTAGGAAATTATTTGATAACCTGTGTGGAAGCTTGGACAGCTTGATGCTCAGATGATTTTGTGCAGGAGATGGTATCTCAGGACTAAAACTGGACTTTTTGCTTCCATACCCAGAGGTGTTCAGGATCTGTGTCGTAGGTTGGGCAACATGGCATCTTGGCCTCCATTGCAATAGACTGAACATGTTTGTCTCCAGGTACAGGGATCCTCTCTAGCAGAATCATTGGATGCTGTGGAGGGATCAGTACACCCTAATCTATGCCTTTCTTCCCCTTCAACTTTCTGTGCTTTGCAGAATCAAGATGAGAAAGCATTTAAGTTGTCCTCATTGTTTCGGATTGATTCAGGCAGATGTGGTATGCATGTATGTAGGTGCATCTCCTAGACTGATATTCCTTTCATGCTAACAGGGTAAACCTTGCGAAAAGTAGACTTTCTATCATCGGCCTTGGATTGCTTACTTTTACCCATTCTCTGTGGAATGATTTCTGAACCGGCGTTTGGCACTATCAAGTGTTATATGTCTGCCATTTCTATGCTTTTTCAGAGGCCGTCTGCCCTCTAACGCTCTATTAAGACCTTTGCACTAGTGTTCTATGTATTTCTCCCCCCTGCCCCCCCTTTCCTATCAATTCTCCTTTGACACCGTGGGATCTGGATTTGGTTTTCTCCGTACATTAGAATTTGCCGTTTGTAACACAATATTTCTCTCCCCCCGATGTAGTTTTTATTGAGGGTAGGCATCACCTGTGAGGTGAGCGTTTGCCTGAACTGGCAGTCTTTTTCTAAAAGGAATGCTTTCTGATTTTTGCATAGGGACAAGGTAATATTGAGGCCTTATACTACTTATTTTTTGCCTTAAATAGTGTATGCATTTCACCTCAACTAGGACAATGTTCTTTTGTCCCTCAGTCCACCTCTTGTTCACCAGAAATAAATTTCCCTCTATTGTCTGGATGTGGTTCAGGTTATACAGGTTATCACTTACCCACTGCTTCTTTCAGGAAGACCGCTTCCCTTTTTATCATCTCAGATGGACCTTGTGCACTGGTTTCTCACTTCACCTTCTCTTCCTGGCTCAAACAGACCTTCATCCGAGCATATGTTTTCAAGGATCGGGTTCCATCTTGTCAAGACGCACTCTACTAGTTCTGTGAGGTGCTTCTTGGGCTTTTCAACATCAAGCAGCTATTTCCAAGATTTGATTGGCTGCCACTTGATCTTCTGTTCACATATTCTTTCAAGTTCTAACAGGTGGATGTTTCAGCCTCATCTGATGCCAGCTGGCGTATCTCTTTAGCCGGCTCTTTGAGCTGCAGGCTGTACCAGGATTTTTTTTCCCTTGGCCCTTGTTGGCGTTAATGTTGCCCTCTGTGAACGAGGAAGGAAATAAGATTTTTTTTTTAACTTGGAATATTGGATCCTTTCTTGGAATCTGGTGAGGGAACCCAGTTCTCACCCCTCTGTTTGATTATGCTCTCAGTACTACTTTGCTACAGAACCTAGGCATGCTAGAAATAGGAGGGCTTTGTTGGTCTGCCCCGCATGTGGTGTTTGCCTGTGTCCAACCCTCCTGTTGGTGGCAGCATAACCCGAAATTTAAAGACTCCCTCAAAGTACAGTGGTATCTCGGTTCACGAACTTAACTGGTTCAACGATTCTGGTCGCAAACCGAATTGGTCGTGAACCGCATCAAATTTCCCCATAAGTTTCCATGTAAATTAGGTTAATCCATTCTGAACCATATGCAATTTTTTTTTTTTTTTACCACAAAAATATGAAACAAAGTACAGTATGAAGAGAGTGAACACTAACCTTTCTTGGGGCGACTTCTGACGTGGAGGACAGGAAGGTGGGTGGGGTGGAGTGAGAGTCCCCCTCCATAAGGACATCAGAGAGATCTCCTTCAGGGGTTTCCTCTCTTCTTTGTCTCTTAGCTGCAGGGTCAATTTGGCCTAAAAATCTGTCACTTGTTTTTTTTTCTGCGCTGCATAACCCTGTGGACGCCTCTTCTCTTCCGGAATTTATCAAACCACCGTCTACTGGCTTTAAATTCATCACTAGATTAACTTTTAGAGGTTGTTTTTTTTGCAGTAAATCGCTGTGGAATTTCCTGGCTTTTTCACAGATCATAGCTTCACTAACACTATCACCTGCCAGCTGTTTCTCATTCAACCACACTAACAAGTTTTTCCACCTCTTCCAGTACTTGGGTTCTCTGCTTGGTTAACAACATTACTCCTTTTGCCACATCAGCTCCTTTTTGATGGAATCTTTATTCCTCAAAATAGTCGAGATTGTCTCCGAGGCCAGATCAGTCATACGATTACCACGATCATGCTTTTCTACAATTTCCTTCAATTCAATGGTTATTCGAGCAGGAGGCAAAGCGCCCATCATAGAATCAGTGGACGCAGCAACCGTACAACAACCAAAAGGCAGATAGAAAAATAAACCCCACAAGTATAATACACTAGCCTGCAGACTTATGCAGCTTCAACCACCAGAGGCCCTGTGGAAGTCCACATTGGACAATTGTTAAACTGGGTAGACACAAATGTGAAAAGAGCCTGCGATCACTGAGCGGTGCAGCCCCGCCCTGGCCTAGTTAACAATTCACACATTTGTGACCTATATTTATTAACTTGACTAGTATAGTCACACAGCAGCCACGCCAGTTGGGGTGATAGGTACATAAATTAGGCAGGGTTGTAGGAGGGCGCGATGGGACAGAAGACAGAGCGAACAGGTAGGAATAGAGAAAGGGGACCCATAAGAGAAAGAATAAGAGAAAGGGAAGGAGGGGTGGTAGCGGAGGATATAGCCACCATGAAGCCTCATTCCAAAAGATTAAGATAATCTTGTGTAGAAGTAAACTCATCTCACTAGAACCCGGTAGCTCGAAAATGGGCCCCTGTCCCCCTGAGAGAACTTGTAAGGTCTTCCATGTGCCTAATATCTCGTATCTTGCTAAGCCACAGTTGTATCTGCTTCACAGCAAGTGTGCCCATGTCTGTCTGCGACCGCAATCTTAACTAGAGGAAGACACGACCACGTGTCAGAGCGGGGAAGATGGCCGCGGTCGTGTTAGTCACCCGATGCAGAGTTTGCGAACGGAGGCAAAATTTTGCTGAACTTCCTGTTAGCTAACCGAATTGTTATACGGAAGCGTTCATGAACCGAGGTACCACTGTACATGGAAAAAGATGACGAGTACCAAAATCAGTGTTTTTGTTTTTCCTTTTTGTTAATGCAAATGTTTAATGCAGATGTTTTAATGTCTTATTTCTGTTATTTATTTATCTTTTTTTTTGTGTGTTTTTTTTTAGAACTTGAAGACATTTATCAGACAGTTACACCCGAGAGCAACACTACAGATGACAAAAATGAGGTATGTTTTTAGTTCTTTCTTAATTGAACTAATAGCTTGAGTAAAATGTTATGTATCCTAGCATAATAATCATTTATATCCTCTCGGGAGAATTGCTTCTGGTTGCATACTTTCTAAAGAGTGTGGCTTTAGTGTTGTCCTCTGGGCAAAGTTTCTGTGTCAAGTCTTCTTGATGGCTTCTGCCTATCCATATTCATCCTAATTGTTCCCATTTACTCACATGATCTACAATTGGCTCAAAGATCGCAATCATATCTTTCGCACAACGGTGATTGGATGGCAACTGAAGTCTTTAAACTGCCATATGTTCAGCTCTCTTCAGTCTCTGAGAACAGTCTTAAATGGGGATACACCGATACCAGTGTCGGTGCCAATTAGAGGGGCACCGAAATGGAAATTTTAAAACCAAAATAAAAAAAATTGTCAGGCCGAAACCAATCGCGAAAATGTTTTTTTTTATTAATGTTTTCAAATTTTTTTTTTTTATAAACGTTTAATTTTTATTTCATTTTTCTTTAAATATATTTATTTTTTACTTTTACTTTTAGGGGCTTTGAGGAAATAATGGGGGGTATAAACAGATCCCTGATATTTCCCTTTTTAAAATAGAAAAAAAGATTTAGGGCACAAAGTCCTCCTATCACCTTTTTCTGTCCCCTGTTATCAATGAACAGGAATCCTCTGAGTTTTCCTCTTCATTGATAACATGAGGACATGGTATGTTTGTTTACTATAACTAACTACAACTATTAATGAAGATGGGGTGATGTAGATCACTCCCACTCATTCATAATTGAGGCTATAGTTAACATACCATGTCCTCAATTATGTACAAACACTCAGCGATCACTGAGTGTATGTAGCCTGCTCTCCTCTCTGACACGTTGTCACAGGAAGCTGAAAGAGCGGTGTAGGGAGGAAAGCCCAGCCTCCTGTGACAGCGCTGGATGTCTCCGCCCACACACCGCTCTGCCAAACTGTGATAGGAGGCTTAGTGGTGTGGGAGGAGAGACGCCGGGCCGCTCACAGCGCTCTCCTCCTGCAGCGCTCAACCGGCTGTCACAATTTCTCTCCTCCCTGCTGGGACACAGATATAAAGCAAGGATGCACAGATGTATCGGCAGGAAAAAGGCCCTAGTGCCAATACCGAGTATTTGGGCGAGTACTCTACTGAATGTTTATGATTTAAAATGGTTAGGAAATATATTACAACCTTATAACCTAACAGCTTTGTTGTTTTTCAGATCCCTGTTAAGGAAGAAGAGGAGATGTCGGAGCTTCATTTGCGTCTTTTGGCTTTGCAGTCTGCAAGTAAAAAATGGCAGCAAAAGGAACAAATGGTAATGAAAGAGGGAAAAGAAAAACTGTCAAAGGGCAAGACGGAGCTCCAGAAGGAGAAGGGCAAGACGGAGCTCCAGAAGGAGAAGGGCAAGACGGAGCTCCAGAAGGAGAAGGGCAAGACGGAGCTCCAGAAGGAGAAGGGCAAGACGGAGCTCCAGAAGGGCAGTTCAAATTCATTTACATCACGTAAAGTCAACAGTGCTGCTTATGCAGGTAATTCACGAGCTGGGTTTTTATTAGGCTATGGGCCCATTGTCTACCCAGTAATAACATTCTCAGTAATTTAATGCAGCTACACACTAAATATTATGTTCCTTTATAGCAAAGCAGGCACTCAGAAGACAACAAACAAAAGCATGGAAAAAGTTGCAACAACAAAAAGCTGCCGAAAACCATAAAGAGGAAGAGGAGAAAAAGAAGCAGGCAGAAGAAGAAGAAAAAAGAAAGAGAGAAGAGGAAATCAGAAAAATTCGAGACCTTTCCAACCAGGAGGAACAGTATAACAGGTTCATGAAGCTTGTAGGAGAAAAGACTAAACGGAGCAAGGTGTGTCTTCTTTAATGTGTTCTGTAGTGGAGTATAAAACACAATGTTCACGTTTGACATACCAAATGGTATGTCAAAGGGATTTCCTTGCAGTTTTGCATATGTCAAGAAAATTTATGCTAAAAAAAAATAGTTTTTTTCTTCTTTCTTTCAGTCTTTTGAGGCAGATCAAAAACGATCTGACAAGCTGTCTTTGGAGAACTATGGATGTGTTTACCAGTATGACAACTATGAAGAGGTTGCAATGGACACAGATAGTGAAACAAACTCTCCAGGTAATTTTTACTTCCTATATGATAGCTGGGGAATGCTGAGGATTGCAGCATCCAGGATAAGGAACACAAGTATAAGGGGACATGCTTACCCTTGCTCCAAACCATCTTTCCTGTTTTCATCTTTTTACCACACAGCTCTGAGATGGCTGATGTATTGAATATTGTATGCTCCCTAGCAGTCTGATGGCTTACCTCAACAAGCTGGTAATAGAGGGGCAGAGTAATAGGACCAATCTGTTTAACTAAAGAACAAAGATAAGGAGTAGCAAGTTTGGTAAAAAAAGTGAAGGTTATATCAAAATTTAACATTTACCTGCCCCAGATTATGGAACTTTTAGAACTCCATGTAGAAAAAGAAAAATGTAACTTGCAAGGGGCAATCCTCGTACTGCATGGGGGTAAGTGCTTATTTTGTCTAGGGTACTCAAAGCAGCTTTACTTGCCTGATCTTCGGTCCCGTGGTGGTCAGCGCTTATCTCTCTTCCCCCTCCGCTCTAGCTGTGGAATGTCCCTTGGCGTCCTCATGTCCAATGCAGGTCAATGACCTATAGGCCTAATGCAGCCTCACTGTAAGGGCAAGTTTTTTGTTTTTTTTTGTTTTTGTTTCCATGGAGTTCTTCTTTAAAGCTGTTTACTACTTTTTAAGAATATGTAAATACTGTAAAGTAGAGATGCACAGATACCATTTTTTCTGTATCAAGAGTTCAGATATTTTTTTTTTTTTCTGGTAATGTCCGATACCGGAAGTCACATTAAAGTAGCCGGGCGTCGTGTAATGACTAGCCGCCGGGAAGCTGTATGACAGTCTAAATAAGTACCAAATTCAGTTACTATTTTTGATCCACAATCAAAGTAAACAGACTTCCTTTACCTTCTTTGGCTGAGGCATATCCTCCTCTGTGTCTCATGCCCTCCCTCCCACACACTGCAACAGAGGCTCTGCTGCCTATTCAGAAAGCAGTGGGCAGGACTTGGGGTGGCCAACTGCTAATTGGCAAACTACAGGCTTGTAAATCAACAATGAGAATGCTGAAACCGTGCATCCTGCTAAATCTTCACATCCCACTGTAGTGAAAGCAGCCTACATGAGTGGCAACTCTGCTTTGAATTCATGTGCCGTGCTGCATCGTTGCCACACAATCACAGGAAGCTGCATCAGGTGGTTTTCACAAGTAGACTAAAAAGAGATTTGTGGGACTTTGGAATGCGAATAAGAGAAAACTGTAAGTGCGGATACACTTGCAATAAAGTGTCTTCCATGACAGCATTGCAGGAGATGGAGTCTCCTCCCTAAACCATAGGAAACACGTCACCCATTCAGATTTTAAAAAGCCCGCCTCTTCTTCAATCCCTCAGTCTTTGTGTTTCCTCAGTCAACTGGGGAACGCGTCACTGGAACGCTGGGGGGGCCTCCATCTCGCAGTTTCTGCCTGGGGGTTCCCTCATTACCAACCTGTTTTGTATGGGGTGCGGAAATTTTGCTTGATCCTTAACTTAAAGCCCTTAACCGTTGTAGTGAAATACAAGAGATTCAGGATGGAATCTCTTTCCAGTCAGGCCCTTCCTACAGCCCAGATCCTACATGGGGACGCTGGATCTAAGAGATGCCTAACTTCACATTCCTAGCCACTTGGCTTTTCAACAATTTCTCAGAATGAGGATAGGCCCAATCATTTACCATTATCAATGCAGAGCTCTCCCGTTCGGGCGGTCTTCAGCCCCTCGGATATTCTCAAAGGTGTTGGAGGTGCTTGTACCCTTAAGACTTCAGCAAATCAACATTGTACCCAGTGCCGATACTAGACTATTTTGCGCACTAGACAAGACCAGCTACTTGCACCCCTCAGCCTTTCACCCGTGACGCAACCCCGACCCACCACACACGCGGCCCCTTTCTTCTGCCGGCTAGCTTCCGCAAGTGACAGGTGAATGTAAGCAGCCGAGAGCAATAGCCAGACTGCTGTTGGCTATTTTATTTTAAATCGCCAATAGCAGACTGGCTATTGAAACCCCCCACTGAGCAGATGAGTGGACCCGAGAAAGAAAGTTGTCTCTCAGTTCTGCTCCTCTGCTCAGTGGGCGGGTAAAAAAACCAGCCTGCTATTGGTGTTTGCAATTTTAAAAAAACGGGGGGGGGGCGGCTTCGAGGATGCGCCTTAGGTGGCTGCCTAGTTTGCCCTTCAGAGGGTTTGTTCAGTGGCCTCCAATGAGTCATCCAGTCTCCTTGAGAGAGATGTCAGTCCTGGGACTCATATGCCCTTTTGTCATCTACAGAGCCAAATAACTCAGGGTCAGTGGTCACAGAGAGAGTCAAGGATGTCCTCAAACTGGAGGGAATTGAAAGCGATGTTCAGTTCTGACTGAAAAAAGCTCCTGTACTTTTTCAAGCTAGAAGCGACACAACACAAGCACTATTGAAAATCGGGAGATTATTCCTGTTAAACGTCGTCTTGCTTTGGCAGGAGTAGAGATCGTCACATCCCTGCCTCCTCCTATCACAGAATGCCTTGTACAATACAAGACATTTTGTGACTGTTCACTAGTAAAGAGGGGTTGGTGATGTCACTGGAGTACTCTCTCTACTTGTTGAGTCGCATCTCTCCGTCTCCTCAGTGCCCAGAAACTAGGCGTTATGTGCAGGAGACAGCATGCTTATACTTTGCAGCGGCCCTCTGCACATAACAGCTTTTTAATTATATTTACACACTCTGATTCTGACTTTAACATCAAATATTTATCTTTAATTCCATGCCTAATACAAAGTCTCTTCTTTATAATAATTTATTTCATAAATATAGCTGCATTGCTTAGATTTGACATCCAAGTGATTAAAGCAAATTATCTTAAGATTATGTTCACCGTGAAATGTAAAGTTGTATGTGAGTTACTCCATATTCCCCAAGAATTCCAACCTCCCTCGGATGTTTTCCATTTTTCTTAACTGTTAAATTGATTTCATTTTAGGGGCATCTCCAACAAGATTGCCTTATTCTCCTTGTAGCCCTTTGGGATATGTACCATCATCATTGTGTGTAACAGATCCGTATTCTTCAGATATATGGGTAAGTGTCATTTTGCTGCATACATTGGTCTCACCAGTATTTGTATCTAATAGACCTCTGTTACCTTAAACAGAACTTGTCACCTGTAATAAGCTGTTAACTCCTGATGTGATGAGAATAAAGCTGAATAGTTTTGAAAAGTTACATTTAAATACCATTAAAAAAACAAATTTTTTTTTAAGGTCCCTGCCAGTAAGTTTATGCTCATACCTAAACGTGTATGTCATGATGCCACTACATGCAGAAATAACTATTGTTCCACAAGTTACATATGGCAACACGTTCCAGAATATGAGAAATTGTAAGGCCATTATTCACAGTTAATTCTAATGATCCGTGTTTTAAAGCCTTGCCTTTCGACAATGTTTGGGTACCGATGGCTGTCGCTGTTTCACAGGGGTGCAGGCAGTTTTTAGGCTTGACGCGTTTGGTATCCACTTGACGCAATCTAATTTTTTATAATTAAAAATATCCATCTTTAAAAATAGGACTGCAACAAACGAATCGATGGATAATGAAAATAGTTGTCCACTATTCTCATCGATTAAATTTGTTGGATTCCCCTAGATCTCTCCTCTATGCTGGGAGGAGGGCACAGCAAGCAGTCCAATAGCTATTACACCAGCCCACTACCTGCTGTATTTAGCCATTACCTGGCTAAGGCTATTTAAGCGCCATGTGCTTACAATAAAATTATTAAAGGTGGGATATAAGTCATTTTTCGATTTCGGTCTGACAAATCCTGCTGTTTGTTGCAGTGCCATTCATTTCAATGGCACCCCAAATGCAACCTCCCATTCACAGTGTGATTTCCTGCACTGGTACCCATGGGACCGTAATGGGGTCCAGTGCAGTTCGATAGCGAAAAATTGTGCATGCAGTTTTATTCTGAAGTAAACTTTTGTAACACTGCATTTGTGTATTTTATTTTAAATTAAGAATGGTACTTAATTGTTATCTGATTGTAAAAATAATGGGCCAACAAATCGATTATAAAAATCATTAGTTGCAGCCCTAATAAAAAATGATCTTTTTCACATTTTATAATTATACATTTACCAAACATTGGTAATTATATTGTTTGTAAGTATGAAGGATAATTTCAATTCATTTTTGGTTCGGTTGGACAAGCATCATGTTACATAAAGAATTACAACTGCACCAGTTTAGTTTCCAGTATGTTTGCTTTCATAAAATATAGAATTCTGTGATTTTAAATAATCATGCATGCAGTCAAAGGGTTAAATCATAAAACCACGATCGGTCAAAAAGATTACTTAAAGGAGAACTCATCCCCATAGTTTGAGCCGAGGGGTGACATTGAACCTGTCACAGGTTGGCTCTATTGATCGGGAAGTGAGTGAAAACATACCTCCAATCCTCTCGCTTCCCAATCGTCTCCCTGCAGAGTGGTTACCATCAGTCCCCACTTTCCTCCCTGATCCTCCAGCGCTGACTGGAGGGACGGACGAGGCAGGGGGCGGGCACAGCTGACTCCGACAACGGGCTCTGTCTATCTAGAAGCAATCAGGCAGCTGGGTGGATCTCAACAGTATTGTCAAGATCCATCCCGGCTATGGCACAATCAGCATCTAGTGGGCAGTAGCCCACTATATACTGAGTTTTGAGTCACTGAAGGACATGGTATAGGTTGACCCTAAAGAGAACTATGGGGGGAAAAAGGTTACCCCCATAGTTCTCTTTTAACTCTCGAGCATTATTTTTTATTAAGGTGTCAAGGCTGCTATTTTTTATTTTATTTTACAGCCGAGTTATCTGGCTTGATTTGCTAAAGGAGTTGAAACTCTCTACTTGAATTGTGTTTAATATTCACTTCAGTTATCCACTCCAGTCACTTTAGTTATGTGAAAAGCATTTTCATGTGATTGGGTCTTCAAAATGAATAGAAATGAGCTTTTCTTATGATTTGGATAATTGAAGGGAATATTCACACAATTTTCTGAATAAATATTCTCGATTTTTTAGTAAATCAGCCCAAACGTTTGTAAGATTTTTACTCTTGCTGTACATCTTGTTCTGCATGTAAATATTCAAAAGAAAAAATTAATTTTTAAATAATTACAGCTACTGAATACTATTGGAAAATATATTAACCGCACGGAGTTATCAAAATATAGTTAAGGAATTTATGGAAAACTTGAACAGATGTTAGCAGATCATGTGCTTCAGTAACATGTTACTACAGTGGCTGGATTGCTGATTTATTGTGTACTTTTCCAGCTGCATCACTGTGATGTCTCAATGTTCGGCTCCGTGATCTCTGGAGCTTCTTCAGAAATGTCAGTCCCACCTCCACCACTGCCACCAGAGGAGCCGGAGCAGCCTCCTAAGCCTCCTTTTGCAGATGAAGAAGAGGAGGAGGAAATGCTACTTCGTGAAGAGCTTTTAAAATCTTTAGCTAACAAGAGGACTGTCAGACCAGAGGTAATGCTTTTTAAAGCCAGAGATTGGTTGGCTGATGGGTTCAGTCACAGTGCCTTCATTGTGTTTATTGTATAGCAGGACTGATCTGTTGCAAACCTGGTGAAAAAAACGCTGTAAAAGCCCCCTGCACAGTTTGATAGAGCTTTTAGTATACATATATGAGCATTTTAGCATCACTTGCATGAAACCTGTGGTCATGTAACAGAAACATTTTATAAATGATCATGGTTATATACCACTTTTATGCGCTTCTATTTTGAATACTATTTTATTGATGATAACAGAAGACCGCTGTCAGCATATTGCAAGGGAATTTATACAGTGTAACAAATGTTACCTTTTACTAGGGATGATGCACCGATACCGTTTTTTCATTATCTACTACAAGCATCGATTATTTTAGCTTTCGGTAGGTACCGGTACTTCCGCTAGCATGAACCCGTTTTCCCGATTGCTTGGGAAGCCGACTATATGCTGTTTGGCCAGCTCAATGCTGTTTTGCCGGGAAACTGGCTTCCCAGAATGAGCATGGAGCTGTTTGTTTGGCCGGCTTGATGTTGATTGGTTGGGTAGCCGGTTTTCTGGCCATTCAGGGAGGCGGATCATTACGTCCCGTGATGCGGCTCAATGCTGATTGACCGGCTCCGTGCCAATTGGCCCAGAAGCTGGCTTCCCAGTCAAACAGCATGGAGCCAGCTTCCTGGCCAATGGAGATGCGGGGCCTTGAGTCATTACCCGCCGCCAAGCTTCCTGATTTGGCCGGGAAGCAAGCTCCATTTCCCTCATGGCACTGCCGGTCAGAGGACATCTGCCTCCCGCTAAGTATCGGAGCATCTTGGCGAGTACGAGTACTCAGCCAAAATACTCTGTATTGGCTCTGATACTAGTATGGAGGCGTTACCAGCCACCACTAGATACAGGAGATCTTTGTATTGAATAAACTAGCTTGTCTTCAAGCCGTCAATTAATCATTGCTAGAAGGAAGTAATTAGAGTCAGAATAGGGAATATTACCTAAGAATTTTAGTTCACAGAGAGTGCAGTTTTTTTCTGCTTGGAGTTTTACATGGTAATGCAGTTACATATTCACTTTAAAATAAATATTTTTTTTTACGTACAATTCTCCCAAATACCCTGATGGCAGCCTTCTGCACAGTATCATCTAGACTGGGAAAGGGAGGGGCAGCACTTTGAGCCAGGCAGAGCTTTATTGTTTTTAGTACATTAAGTAAAAAAGTATGAAAATAATTACTGCTGAGAACAGAATGATGATTCCATCAGTGTTTCTCTTCTTTGTCCTTGTCCACTCACATGCTGAGGCATGCTGGCTTTCAAGCTGTATTGCCTGTGAGGTCAACAACCTATCTATGTAGTTGTAACTGGATAACAAGACACAGTTACAAATCCTTTTACATTTCACGTGTAGGTGTTTTGACTGTGTTTTGCAGTTTCCTGGAGTTCAGCTTTACCAGAATTCTATATGAAATCCACTCATTAACTTGTTTGTTTTCACAAAAGGCAGCAATAATTTTCAGATGAAATCTTTAAAAAAAAAAGTGGCTGCATTGTTAATCGGGGACAGTGGGCAAGCATTGCTGTTGTGTACGTTGGACAGATGTCATGTAATATGCTTCATCTTTTTTCATTTTCCAGATGCTGGGTAATAACAGTCCGCCTCCATCACCTCCTGTTGTTAACAATATTATGCCTGTGCCAAGGATCATGCTAACAACAGCGGGCTTCAACTCTGCTACTCATCGCAAGAATAATACTAAGATTGTGAGGGTCCTAAGACCTCTAAGACGTGTAATAAAGGTAATTTTTATTGCCTAAAACACACACACCTACAATATGATAATCCCTGTGAAGCATTAGTGATTAAAACAAATGAGTTGCTAGTGGTGTCTGCCTCCAGATAAGACCATTGACTCTCGGGCTTAAAATTTTCAGAGACTGGTTGGGATTATCTCAAGACTGTAAAACGTGTATTTTTGTTTTGTGTTTTTTTTTTTAGTTCGCTCACATCTCTTTACTGCAGCACATTGAAATAGGTGGTTAACACACACAAATGCATGCGCCATACAAGTTTGTGTTTGTTTTTTTTTTTTTTTTTTTTTTTTTAGTTAAGGAAAAAAAAAAACTAACCATACATTAATGTAAAGTTTAGGTGAAGTACAGTTCTGTGTTCGGTTTACAGTCTGTAGTATTCATTGTTTGCTGTGTTTGTTTTGTGTACTGCAGCTTCCAAAGCACAAATCGGTAGTCGTAACACTGAATGCTTCTGACTCTGATGAATCTGATCCAGAGCCACCTAGTTCAGGCCTTGGTGTTTTTGGAGGTTTGGAATCTATGATCAAAGAAGCCAGAAGAACTGCAGAGGTGAGCCTAGCCTTGTAGAAATATTTTGCATGTTAATCTAAAAGTTTAGCATAAATGACCACATGTGACCTTTAAGGGAGATCCCACCATCATATCAACAATGCAACTATAATTTGATAAGAATTCATATTTTATTAAACATCTGGAACTCATTTTAAAAAAAAAACATATAAAAATATGTATTACACAATCGTATCACTTGGATATCCATAAATAGGGTAAATCTTGTAAATATGGACACCAAAGATGTCCAAATCCGCTAGAGATCAAACAAGGATATTATCTACAGATTCCTAGTTTCCAATACTCAATAAACGATCCAAAATGTCCTCAGCAGTAGGAATAATCAAAGGAGATCCGTGTATAACAAGTACGCAAGCCAAAGAGACATCCAAAAGGCCATGTTCTCATCCGTATCACATCTCCATGAGTGTGATAAATTAAATGAATGGATAATAAGCCCTGCTTCTCACAGCTGTGGCTAGTGTCCAATCACCAGATGATACCTGCACATTACCCAGTCTTCTCTGGATTTGCCTGTGTCCTGTACAGTACTCCACGAAACAGATTTTACTGGTAAGTCAAAAAAACTGTTTTGCATGGCTTGCCTGCAGTCAGGTGTCCCTGGCATCTAGTATATAGATCTATAGATATATAGATATCTATACATCTATACATCTATCATGAATAGTGTTTATTTTACAGAATGACACATAAGCATGCAGAGAAAATGCACAGTTTCTGCACTTTAGGTTGCTTTTAGGGAATGTCAGATTAATTTCCATGGGATATGCCTTGGAGAAAATTGGATGTGGAGTAAAGCTGTCTATTTGTTGCATGTATGTTTTTTTTCCTCTTCTCAAGTAGGTATTCCTGGAAAACTGTTGCATTTTTTTCATATGTGCATAACATACATGTTTACTAGCGGTTCTATAACGTGGCAGTATTGTCAGTGATCTTGTTCTGTTTTAATTAGGCATCAAAACCAAAAGCACCTTCTAAATCTGAAAAAGAAAATGATCCTCTGAGGACCCCAGATACCTTACCAGATGATAAGAAGATTGAATATAGACTTCTGATGGAGGAGATTTCTAGGTAACCTCATACTGTCGAGCTAATATTTTGTTGCTTAATCGCATATTCTAAGCTAAAGTACAATCTGTTCTTTTGTGCGCAGTCGTGAAAAACAGAAACTCTTAAAAACAGACCTGACCATAACAAGTCTATCTCCAGCAAATTCTGATATAGAAGTAGATGGCAACCGTAAACATGTCAAGGATCCTAAAGTGGCAGAGGCAGAGTCGAGGCATACAAAGCAAAAGTAAGTTTGGGCTGGTAAAGGTCTTTGTAAATTGTTGCATAGTCTTATCTGATTAAAGATCTAACAGTTGACTGCCTAATTATGTGCTGCTTATTATTATTTATTGTTATTACAGGAAAACATATGCTTGCAGTGTAGCTATTTTTCTTGTCACCAACAGGAGGTTTTGAGATTGGCAAACAAAACTTGCAGGTCAGCTCCGCTACTCCCAGCATGCCATGTTTTTTTTCTAGTGTTTTAGCAGGATTATTGTCTTTTCTCTGCTCTGCCGAGAGAAGTCCATCTTTATTTTTTTTTCTTCTAGATACTTTTTCTCCTAGATAATTTTTTTTCATCTATCAAGATTCCTACTTCGTTGCTGCTGAGCTAATGTCCATATGCAGCTATTCAGTTTGGCAGTTTCTCAGCTTGACTTAGGAATGCCGTACCTAGATCCATCTGAATTGGGTACTGCAGGGCTAGCTTGGAATGTGACCTTTTGGGCCTGGGCTCTGCATTGTGGAGTTTTCCCGTCAAGAATGTAGTGGTTAGAGCAGCGGAGAGCTCTCCAGATCCTCAGCCATCGCACAGCCCCAGTTGTGTGACCCTGTCCCTGACGACTCACTTTGTGAGTAGGCATCTGCATCCAGTGGGAGGGGAGGTCTGTTTGCTTTTGTGGATACATGGGAAACCTGCATCTGGGATGCTTTGGTATGGTAGGCCGTTTCCAGAGGCTTCAAGACAGAATTACGATCCCAGCCCCCTCCCCAATTCATTAATTTCAACCTACCTGTGTCTCTGCGTAGATTAACAGTTCTCCATGTGGTGCTAGTGGGTCTTCAGGAGTAGGGCATCATTGCCCCAGTCCAGGTGGTGGAACGGTCCCAGGGGTTCTACTCCAAAATGTTCACAAGTTTCAAACCGGAATCCTGCATCTCTCAGTCGATGGAGAAAACAAGATTTTTCTATTCGTAGTCAAATCCCTTTCTCCGATTTTTTTCTTCCTTTGATGGGAGACTCTTGTGCTTCTGGCCATTGCTCTTGTGCTTCTGGCCATTGCTCTTGTGCTTCTGGCCATTGCTCTTGTGCTTCTGGCCATTGCTCTTGGTACCACTTGCTACAAACTGAGCCTGCTGGATGTGGGAGAGTTCATACCCCATAGGACTGGCCTACAGGTTTTCTTTTTGTCCTCTAGTGTCCAATTCTGTGTCCCTCAATGGACACTCCCTGTCGTAGGGTGACAACGCATAGCTATTGCACTGTATCTGTGGAGGAGCAGCACTGTCACCCTAGGATACCTAACACCTGCCAATCTTATTGTCCCAATAACATAGGGGAAGGTGTTCTGCAGTCCACAGAGAAGGCTCATGCAGGATCGATAACAATGTTTCAGATTTAGGAGCAGCATGGTCAGCTCACTACAGGAAGTTAGAAAATTATTGGATTTCTAGTTCGATCAATGCAATTTTGTATTTAATAAACATCTTCAACAAACATAATATATTTACGTGCTGCAGCTCCTGTAAACTAAAACTAAAACGTTTTCAATCAAAAAAGATTGTAATGTACAGGGTCAAATTAACAATTACCTTTAACAGTCCAAGAGGGATCAAATAGTAGAAGTTTATTGTTGGGGTTTACATAGACTTTAGAATAAAGTAATTGTGCTTTTGTGATTTAGCAGTTCAGGTTCTTTTGCCACTTCTTTGCTTCCAGCCTCGTCATTGGACAGTGAATCAGCATCATCACCTTTGTCCAGTGAGCTGGTAGCTAACCCAAGCAGTACTAATGCTAAACCAGGAAGTAGTATTATGATCTACTAACGGAGGCAAAACTCAAACCAAATTGGATTAACCCTTTTGCTGCAAATGACGTCCAACACGTCATCTCAATGAAATGGTTAAAGCAAGCTTGAGCCTGCAATAGCAGCTGTGACGTTGTCCCCCTCTGCTCTAGCTGTAGTACGTCTCTCGGTGTCCTTCATGTCTAATGCAGGAGGATGGACCTTCTTTATATTCTACTGCGAGTTCTGAAACTTGGGGCACTCAATTGTGCAAATATCGGCTTCAGTCCCTGAAGTCAAGCTTGAACCTTGCACCTTGTTGGTGTTTTATTGTGTTTTGTTGTCCTTGCTGATCATTAGTGAAACTCTTGAGACGAGTGAACTGACTTACTTAACTTTGGTAATTGAAGGTGAGTGACCTAGTAAGCAGTGAAATGTATGTGCAGGCACCGTTTAGGTTGTCTGCTGTGCAAATCGTTTACTAAAATCATGAAAGGACGTACCGTAAGTTGCACTTGCTAGAGTTTTTGTTTCATCAGGAAGAGCCTGGTTCTTAAACTTTTTTTTTTTTCACTTGATGAAAACTTGAGTTACAGATTTCTTTGTAAACAAGTGCAACTGGAGCAGCTATGTTATTGTTCACTGCTTAGGCATGTGTAGTTCTAAGGTAAAGTTGCAGGGGCGCAGAATAATATAAAAATATTTCATATTATGAATGGAATTTTGTACTACACAGGTTGTTTTTTGCTATAGTTATCTTTTGTTTACTTTGTGTTTACACAGAATGCTCTTGGTTAAGGATGAGTCTCTCCTGAAAAATCTGTTGCTGCAGGAGGAAAAGAAAAAGGAATCGATCAAAACTGCAGAGCTAAAAATGACCAAACTCTCAGAACAACTGCAAGCAACAGAAAAATTTCTGAATGCCAGTAGGGTCTTCCTCAAAAAATTACAGGAACAGGTAAAATGTACTGCTTTTCTCCTAACTGCAACAGCTTCTTACTATTCCAAGTTCTACTTAAGGTAGCACCACGGACATTAGAGAATGTGTTTTTTGTTTTATTTGTGGGCTCCTTCAGCTTTTCCAAGTGGGTGGGCATTTAATTCTCGCAGGCTCTTTGGGTAGTTTGCCATTCAAGCATATGGGATGCAAAGTCTGGCTGTTTCAGGTTTAATGACTCATCCCTTCTAATGCTATGCAGCTGCTTTCCCTCTATGTTCTTGTATCACTGCAGAGATTACCAACCCTTCCTCTGCTCTTGTAGGGTCTCCTGGACCTAACAACAAAATCATTTTTCTAGTCCCTGTGTCAGTTGGACCTCGGGAGCTGCATCCCAACCTGGCCAGAATGGATGTTTGTGTCCTTTTGTGATATGCAAGGCCATAATTTATGGTTGGTATTTGATCCGTTCCTCCTAGTAAGGGACCATCTGACCTGTGCGGTTAACTAGGATAATTATTTCTTCACTGACCTATCAGGGCTCTGACTTTTCAGTCTCTCCTCTGCACCCCTGTTGTTCTCCAGGCTGTTGGCCCCAGTGTGTTCTATTGTGCCTTCTCATGGCATCAGTATTGTGGGGCACTCGGGTGACTTCCTGTGGTGAAAAGTCAATGCAGATCCTAGGGGAAAACGTCTTCCTGTTGGTCCAAATGCCTCCAAAGATTCAGCTGGACCTTGCTTCAATAGGGATAGTTAACCTTTCATCACCTGCAGGCTAGGGCTGCAACAACTAAAAGATTAAATCGATTTTAATTGTTAATGAGAATCGTTGTCAACGATTCTCATTATCAGTTGATTTTTGATTAGTTGCAGCTGCTGCCGCTCTGCTCCTCCGTTCTCCTCCGCGCTTGTGCTGGCTGTAGCAGCGGGGAGAAGATTGCAGTGACTCTGCATTCCCCCGCCTGCCCTGGTCCTCCTCCGCTCCCACCAGTGATATGCATCAAGCCTACAATAAATCTTCACAGCCATAGACCTATCATAAATGTTTATGCAGCCAGTTCACATTTAAAGAAACAGCCATAAAATCACTGCTGCATGTTAATTAGGTTGGTGCTAGTAGACCACAGGCAAGCTCAATTACATCCCACTGTCTGTGCAATCATTGCAGTCATCTCTCCATAATCGTCAATGTTCATATACAGATCTTTAAGGTGTATGATAAATCTGAAACTTTTAGTATAAATGCACCCTCATAAGTTCAGCTATTAATAAAGCCACTACACTATGATCACGATATCAAGATTAATTACGGTCATTCATCCAAGTACATACACTGGATTCCTTTGTGAACACTGCTCAAGGGCAGTACATATTCAGCCCGACATACAGCATAGTACCCACCATCTCTTTGTCAGTCATCATTCCAGTTAAATGGCAGTTGAATTAAGCTTAGCAACCTTATATCTACATTTCTGCAACTACCTGTTGGTCACAGGCAAGCCATCCAGTTAATGTTTTTGAAGTTGCATGTAGTAAAGGCAAGTTTGCCTGTCATGGAGCACAAATAGTTTATTTCTAAACTTAATGTGCTAAAGCAAGCATTTTAATGTGTAAATGCAAGCATATTCACAGGGACCATAGTGCAGTGTGTTCAGGAAGTGTAGATTGGCTAGTATAATGTGTCTGGTTTCACCTGTGAAGCTAGCTACATCAAAGGTGCTCAGATTTACAGAGCTCTGCCCTGTCTCGAAGTTCTCTTCTGCTGTTCAGTAGCACTTACAGGTAAGTTTTAGGGCTCAGACAGGCTAAGGGCAACATAACACTATAGAATTGGAGCATAGAGGAAATACTTGCCTGCTCCTAAAAGTCCTGTTGTTGCTGGCATACTGTGGCATATTAAAGAAGCTAAATGTTTTGATTCTTGCATAAGCTTTAGCAATAATGGGTTTTCTGTAAAGTACACAATGTGGGTTTATCCTGTGTTTTTTTTTTTTTTTTTTTTTTTTTTTAAGATTACCAAAGTACAGCACAGAGTTCAAGAAAAAAGGAGTCTTGCTGTTAAATCTGGGGAAGAACTTGCACGAGCTAAAGCATTGGTTAGTCAAGAATTGGGGAAAAGGAAGCTGGAGCCGAGCAGTGCTGGAGTAAGTGTAAACACTGAGAGGTATCATGTAAATAACTTGGGATGGAATGTGAGGGTGGTGACTGCTAAGTTTTTTTTTTTGTGTACAGCCCATGGGTAATAAGTGTTAATATGTTTTATGTACCATAAAAGGGGAAGTAAGTTTTGTAACATGAAATTGTTAGTGGCCAGTGGGAAGAATGCCCCATGCATTAGCGGCCAGTGGGAAGAATGCCCCATGCATTAGTGGCCAGTGGGAAGAATGCCCCCCCCCATAGTGACTCTCTAACAGCTAAAAAGATAATTGTTGTCATGCTGCTAGCTCTGTCAAGTGGTGCTGTTCCTGGAACTAGTCGGCCACCACCCAGCAGGAAGTTAGTCAGCCCCAGCTCATGGAACCCCTCGCAACTGCCTGGGGAACCTTGGTTGAGAATGGCAGACCTAGACTTTTCTGCTTCATAAGGTAGTACAAGTAGATTTGATACAGCATTTTCAATAGTAAGGGTGTCAACTGTAATGACTATAAATACTGTATAATAATAATTGTGCCATAAACAGGTATACAGTAAGAAACATGCGCCATTCTGCATAGTTTGTCACTAAGTCTTCATACATCCGAACACAATCTTTTTCTGGGCTCTTGCTCTTCGCCGGCACTTCCACACTGCATAGTACAGTCCATAGACATAGCAGTTCCATCACGCAGAACACTATCGACACACACTGCCCACCACGCTGTCACACTTCCCTGTGAAGAGGGAGGCTGCAATTGGTGGAGTGTCTTCTGGGTAGGTGCTGTGTGGGTTACTGGCTTCTCACGTGCCACCTTCTGCCTGTCCTTCCTTCATCTCCGGCAGCTAAATCTATTAAAATTTTTTAAAGGCCTGGTATCGGCTGTATGTATCGGGGCATTTTCAAGACTACAAGTACTCGTGAAAATGCCCTGTATCGGTATCGGGACATCCCTATATGAAACAAGTGTGACAATGTCCTTTTAAAACCAATCAGTGCTTCAGTGCAAAATGACTTAAATTTTCACAATGTAGTGCTTTTCAGTGCAGATGCAAACCCACCCGTGTGATCAATCTTCTAGATGGCTCACTCACCAAAGGTTTTGCTTTCTCCCAGACAGCAAACTTAGCAAGCTTCTTCCTCCATCAAACATCCAGACCGGCACCTTGAATTATTCAGACTCAATGTTTCAGCGGTAAACATCAGCTAAAACATGCAGTCTGGAGCAGGAGCAGGCATCCTTCAAACCTGTGACAGCTGGAGCAGTTTTAAGTACCTTTTGGCAAGTCCAAAATTCTCAGAGCTACAGAAATCGCTTGTTTTGCAGTGATTTCCTGTAACTGTTTTGCAACAAAATCATTTTTGTCAATGTAATTTTCATTTTAAAAAAAGGCTGTTTTTATTTTAAAATTGTTTAATCAAAAACTGCCTTTTTTTAAAATAAGTAAAATATGGAATAACAATGATGGATGCCAATAACTTTTGTGGGTTCCTGTTTTTTTTTTTCCTTGGAAAGTAAGTGTGTGTGTGTTATCCTAAAATTGCTGTAGAGTGATTTTTGTAGCCAGTTTAGATTTGAATACTGTGGAGCTATTTGAAATGTACTGTTTAAGCATTTTCACAATCTTGGCCAAGTGAAACAGTTTGCACTTTTAACAAACAAGTATCTTCGTTTAATCAGTCTTTATTTTCATGTTTTTAGGCTAATAAAATCTTTAAGCCAAATCCAGGCTTGGACAGCCCCAGAAAGCAGTCTTCAGAGGCTATTGCACTTGAGAAAAAGCGATTGCAAGAACTTGAAAAGGAATATGCTCTCAAAATTCAAAAACTAAAAGAAATGCAAGCTAAAAAAATTAAAGAACAGACGGCTATTTACCCACCTGTGATTGAGGAACAGCCAGAATTTGTACTGCCACAACCGTCCCTTCATGATCTCTCCCAGGACAAAATATCCCTTGACACAGAGGAAAATGAGCCTGAGGATGAGGATATATCTACCTCTGTTAAAGAGCGACGGAGATCATTCCGTGACATAAACTCTTTTACCAAACCTAACTTGAAGCACACAGATCTTACACCTTATAAAGACAGTAATAGTAAACCGTCCAAGACACCTACAGAGGGACCAGAACTGTTTATGGGCTTGAATATTGATGAACTTAGAAGTCTTCAATCCTCTAGCTCTGACCTGTTAACAGAACTTCTTTCAAAGTGTGATTCATTATTAGTATCACAGGACAAATTATCTTCAGGAACAGTAAGTATGGTGCTTTCTTTTTTTTAAAACTTTTTATAAACTTTTGTTTTTGGAAAGGGAATGTTCTCGCATGGTTCTGAGAATTTAGGAAGTGTCTTTTTGCCTTTCTGAGTTATGATTTAAAATTTTAACATAAACCTGACCCAACCTCAAATGTGACCAAGGTAGCCACAGTGCTGAATTGTGTTGGTCTTTAAATCAATCCTTTATGTATGTGTTGTGCCCCTTAAAGTGAACCTGTATGCCATTTTAAAGTGTTTAAAAGTAAATATTATGCCTATACACAGACACCACGGGATGTTGGTTCCAGTCAGAGGTTTCCACAGCGGGGGGTGGTGAGAGGTGGCAGATTGGTGTGGGTAAGTTCATTTTTTTCACATTTTGTGAGAAAATGGACTTGCCCCTTTAAATCTGTTTGTAACTTCCTTGATAAATGCCCCTTTGTGTAACTGTTGTGCTTAAACATATTCCAGAGTCTTGTAAACATTTTCCAGTTATTGAACAGAATTCCTTGAATTTGGCAATATGGATACCTTTTGTTTCTCTCCCGTTCGTTGAAGGACACAGGGCAACAGATCGTGGATCCTGTAGGGTAGGAGTAGGACACTAGGCTCATAACAAAAGACAAAGACAGCCTAGGGGCGGCCCCTGCTGGTGGCCAAACCCCCCACCTGCTGACAAGTCTCCAGTTTTTTTCCTAGCGTCAGGAGTAAGGAGCGGAAAAAATTTCTCTGGAATTTTTTTTCGCTGTTTCTTCAAGAAAGTGTCACTAGGGCGACACGCTGGATGTTTGTAGGTCCTTGTCTCTCCTGCGTGACCGACGAGCGCATGCAGACTCTGCCACGGTGGGTCGGCTGCTACACTTGGTTCCTCTCGACGCCTGTGGGTTCGTCCCGGTGGGGTGCATATGACGGAGGTCCTGGCCTACCTGTCGCAGCACTCCGCACAGGCTGGCGGCGCTGCGACTACGGTCGGGGGTGCTTTGTCCACCGCTCCTCTGCACGTCCTGGCTGTGGATCCTCGAAGGTGCCTGGAGTCTGGTCGTTTCCCTGCGGGGGTATGTATGTGGTGGCGGTGACTGTCGAGGGGATCGTGACATTTTCTTTTGCTAAGATGCTGTGCTGTGCTGGGACTGCGCTGTTTCTGTCACAGCTGCATCTCCTGGCTGCCTGTTCCCTCCTACCCCGTTGTGTTCGGTCTGTAGGTGGCTGGGACTCCTGTGGGGGCTAATGGCTGTGGGGGTGTTCTGCTGCTGCCACTAATCGAGGCCCCGGTCTGGATTGCGGCCTCCGGGCGGCTCAGTGGCCGCCATTTTAAATGAGGGCAAAGCTCCCTTTCTCTGTGGTCACTTCCGCCCCTGCTTCCTCTCAGCCGCGGGCTGAAGGGGCGTTCTTACTTTCCGCTGTGGGACACCGCTGGCTGCAGACGCTGCGTGCTGATCTCCTCAGATGCGGGGTTGGACGCTGCTGGTGCCATTGCTGAGACACGGACTGACTAAGGGGGGTCGTGAGTACTGGGGTCTCTCTCTCTCTCTCTCTCTCTCTGCCTGTGGCGGTCTCCTGGCTGTGGGGCAGTTAGTGAGTGGTGGCTACGGGGCAAGACATGGAACGCAGGGATGAGCCATCTATGTTGCCTTGTGAGGGGTGTGAGCTGCGGACCTCTCTAGGTCCCCTCTTTGTGCGGCCTGTGCTCCTTTGCCAGTCGCCCTGCGTCCCTAAGGGGTGGTGGTCGGTACAGCTGGTACATCGCTGTCCCTGGAGGTTTTTTCCTCTGCCATGGATGGTTTTGTGACGCGCATTGAACGCTCCTTGACTCAGAAGCCCCCTAGATAGCGGGCTTTGCCATTGCCATCTCCTGTCCTTACGGGGTCGTTTTGCGGTGGGGGAGGAGCATTTTCAGTTTGTGGTGCTGCCTTTCGGCTTGGCGTCAGCCCCGTGGGTGTTCACCAAGGTGCTTGCCCTGATTCTGGCGCTGTTGCGTTCCCGGGGATCTCGATTTGTGGGCTATCTGGACGATCTTCTGCGGGCGGAGTCGCACTCGTCTCCGGTGACGGCTCTAGAGGTCACGGTGCGGTCCTTGGAAGAGTTCAGATAGATCCTGAACCTCCAGAAGACTTGTCTGGTGCCTTCTAAGTGCCTGGACACTGTTGCGGCCCGGGTTTTTCTCCCTCAGGACAGATTCCTGAAACTCCGTTCCAAGGTCCGTCTGTTGCGGACTCGCCGGTGGTCGCCCATTCGCTTTTGCATGCAGGTCCTGGGTCTCAAGGTGGCCTCCTTCGAGGTGGTGTCCTTTGCACAGCACCACACCAGGACTCTGCAGAGGAACATCCTGGTAAAGTGGTACAAGCCCCCCCCCCCCTATCCTTGTACAGGGAGTTTCGGGTGTCTCGGGAGGCGAGATCCTCCCTGCGGTGGTGGCTTCAATCTCCGGCCTTGGTGAAAGGGAAGTCTTTCCTGTGTACTTGGACGGTAGTCACCACGGACGCTAGCCTTTGGGGCTGGGGTGGAGTCCTGGGCTCCTTGACCGTGCAGGGTCGTTGGTCGCCGGAGGAGTCCCGTCTGTCGATAAATGTGTTGGAACTTCTGGCGATTCGCCTTTCTCTTCATTGGTCGACCCGTCTTCAGGATCTGCCGGTTCGGGTCCAGTGGGACAACGCCACCGGGGTGGCGTACATCAACCACCAGGGCGGCACAAAAATCCTCTCCTGGGTAGAGAGTTGGGTTCTGGCCCTCTTGGCGGTTTACATTCCCGGGGTGGAGAATTGGCAGGCCAACTACCTCAGTCACCAGTCGGTGGACCCGGTAGAGTGGTCCCTGCATCCGGAGGTTTTTCATCAGCTTTGTCTTTGCTGAGGGATGTGGACCTTCTGGCGTCTCTGTACAACCGGAAAGGTGTAGAGGTTCGTGGCCCGGGCTCTGGATCCCTGGGCGGAGGATGCCCTGGTGGCTCCTTGGGGACAATACGGTCTGATTTATGCCTTCTCTCCACTGTATCTGTTACCTCGGCTTCTGCGACGGATGGAGGCAGAGGACGTCAGTCGTCCTTGTGGCCCCAGATTGGCCTTGGAGAGCTTGATACGCAGGAGTGGTTCAGCTGGTGGTGGACGACCTGTGGCGGCTGCCTCTGCGTCCGGACCTCCTGTCCCAGGGACCAGTGTTCCATCCTTCTTTACAGTCGCTAGCTTTGACGGCGTGGCTGTTGAGAGCCAGTTCCTGAAGGACCCGGGGTTGTCCGATGCGATCATTTCCACGATGCTCAGGGCGCGCAAAGCGGTTTCTAGAACGATTTACCATCGCACGTGGAGGGCCTATTTTGTCTGGTGTGAGGCTGGGGCCCTGTCCCCGCTTTTTTGTTTTTGGTCAGCAGAGTTCTTGCAACGCGGGGTGGCTCAAGGGTTGGCATTGAGCATAGTGAAGGGCCAAATATCTGCATTGACTGTGCTTTTCCAACGGCCCTTGGCGTCTAATGCTCTGGCTCGCACCTTTTGTTCAGGGGGTGACTCGTTTTGCTCCCCCTGTCGGCTCGCCTTTGGCACCTTGGGATAATCTGGTGCTTTCGGTGTTGCAGGAATCTCCTTTTGAGCCTATTCGAGAGATTCCACTTCTATCCTTGTCACAAAAAGTGGCCTTTTTGGTTGCAATTATTTGTGTTCGGGTGTCAGAGTTGGCTGCCTTGTCCTGCAAGTCACCGTTGCGGGTTCTGCATAGGGACAATTCGGTTCTCCGTCCTCAGCCGGCTTTCCTGCCTAAGGTTGTGTCGGCATTCCATCTGAATGAGGACATTGCCTTGCCTTCCTTGTGCCCAAAGCCGGTTCATAGGAAGGAAAGAGAACTACACTGTTTGGATGTGGTTCGCGCTCTCTGTGCTTATTTAGAAGCTACGACTTCTTTCTGCGAGTCCGATTCCTTGTTGGTGCTCAGGGAGGGCCCTTGTAAGGGCCGGGCCGCGTCAGCGGCTACCATCTCTTGGTGGATTCGTAATGTTGTTCAGGCGTACGCCGTTAAGAGGCGCAAGCCTCCTTTTCCTGTCACTGCCCATTCTACTAGGGCTATTGGGGCATCCTGGGTCTTCCGCCATGGTGCCTCTGTTTCTCAGGTTTGTAAGGCCGCTACTTGGTCTCCCATTCACACCTTTGTCAAGTTTTATAAGGTAGATGTTTCGGCATTGGCGGATGCTGGGTTGGGGCGCAAAGTGTTGCAGGCGTCTCTTTGAGGGGTAGTTTGGTTGTTTTGCCCATCCCTCAGTGTGTGACTGCTTGGTGACGTGCCTACCATACAGGATCTAAAATCTGTTGCCCTGTGTCCTTCAATGAACGGGAGAGAGAATAGGATTTTTGTACTCACCGTAAAATCCTTTTCTCTCCGTTCATTAAAGGACACAGGCCCCGCCCTCTCATTGGGTGTGCACTCCTAACTGCTTGTTACTTACTGGAGACTTGTCAGCAGGTGGGTGGTTTGGCCACCAGCAGGGGCTGCCCCTAGTATGTGTTTGTCTTTTTGTTATGTGCCTAGCGTCCTACTCCTGCAGGAGGCAATATGCCCCACCATACAGGATCTACGATCTGTTGCCCTGTGTCCTTCAATGAACGGAGATAAAAGGATTTTATGGGGAGTACAAAAATCCTATTTTTCCTTTTTAGAATGCCCCTGATGTGATGAGGGTGAAAACTAAAATACCCTACGTTTAACCTTTTTATAAAGGTATTTGTGTTTTTCCAGGCGATACCTGTGGATATGGATTTGATTGCCGCTCAGACAAAGCAGACAGATGCAAAACCTTTCGTTTTCGGGGCATATCATAGCCCGCTTCTTGTTTTCAAGTCCTATAGGTAAGAAAAACTATATGCTAGATAGTGTGCTTTGGTTGTATAGTTAACTCCTGATGTAGAAAATGACACTCCTTTTCTACGGGTCAATGTTTATAAAGTGTTTTATTAAATAAATCCTGTCATGCTAAACAGTTTCTGGATATTTCCTCAACTTTTTCCCTGGCACCATGGCATACGACGGAACACAACCACTTCCAGCTAGCCAGCTCAGTGTGCCATGTTATCGGTTTTTACCCTTCTGCTATACGCTTATGAACTTAAATTAGAAGGGTACACCTGACCCACCCCGGAGAAGAAATTGTTTTTGCAGATGACAGCTGTTCACAAAAATTCTGGCCGCTGCAGCTTTTCTGACAATCCTCCCTGCCTGGAGCCGCTTTAAGCTCTGATCTGTTTCCACTCAGATCCCTGCTGCTCTCCCCCGTCCCTCTCCGATGGGCGGAGACAGTGATGATCCAAGGAGAAATAGACAGCTGCACCTGGCGGGGGGTGAGGAGAGAGCTGCTGTCACTTCGGATGGCTGAGCAGGGAGAAGAGCAGAGCTGCTGTCAGTTTCAGGATGCCATGCAGAGGATCGGTAAATAGTTGTAGTAATTACCAATCATTCCTGCGCAGAACAAACACTGGAGTGATAGCTGATCACTCCAATGTTTGTAAACAACTGGGGTCGTACTATGTGTCCCCAGTTATGAATAAACAGGAAGTGCTTTATATCACGTCCTGTTCAATTATGAGTTTCTGAATGGAAATACAGAGGTTTCTTCTATTCATTTATGAGGGGGTGCAGAAAGAGACTGAGGACTCTATGTCCTCAATTTCTTTTTCTGTTTCAAACGGGAAATGTCCCCTGATATTCCCCTGAACCCCCCTCCCCAGTACAAAAAAATAAAGTAAAATAATTGAAAAAAGAAATAAAACACAACTCCCCCCCACAAACACAATATACACGTGCACCAGTGCGCACCGTATTGTGGTGTATGGTTATGCACATGTGTTGCGGTGCCTTGTTATATCAGATCGCAGTGCTTGACTTGTAATGTTTTTTTTCTTTTGAAAATACCATTAATTCAATTGTGTCAGCGCATGGCAAAGCGTTGTGTGTTGAAACACTGCACTGCAAATCAGGCATTACCAGAACACAGATTTTTTTTTTTTTTAGCGTAGCTTGCTTATTTACAGTTTTGCGCTCCTTCATTTTTATACCATTTCGCAAAAAGGTGCAATTTAAAATGTATAGGTTTAATATTGATTTTATAAACATTTGCTCAATTATCGCGGGATCTACAAAATTAGTAGCATAGTTTTGTTCTAATGGTTCAGTTTTATTG